ATGCTGTGAGATTTTAATTGGATTTGTCGTTTTAATTTGTCGTTTTAGATATGCTATTGGCCAGGGTATTTGGAGAATATCGACATTAATATTTCGGGCAACGTCCTTAGCAAGAAAATCAGCCGACTCGTTGCCAGTGTTTCCAAAGTTTTTTTTTATCCGTCAGAGTCGGGTACATAGTTGTTTATTATTTCGTAGGATATGCACTTTCTAATTATAATGGACATGAGGCCACCATGCATTTATCAGCGTCACTGTTTTCAAGCTGATACAACATATGAGACGACATGCTCTGACATCACAGACACAATAATTATTCGTTCCGGTTGACAAGTACAAGAGATATAACTTCACGACCAGGATCAAGCGATTTTTAGAGTTCTGCACTGTGTCTGTCGTGTCAAAGCCTCTCGATTTCAGGAAGGCTGACGAACCAACTGCCTTGTTTTTCCTTTGATATCGTTCCAGATATAACGAATCGGAGGATGTAAAATACAACTGAAAAATTAAGGATGCGGGACTAATTCAGTCTGCAGATTATTCCAACGGAACAAAAAACACGTTAGAATGTTCTGGAACTCTCAACTAGAGAGAGTAGCCGCTAGCAAGAAAACCAGGACGATACCTTTACCTGTAGCAATGACGATACCTTTACCTGTAGCAATGACGATACCTTTACCTGTAGCAATGACGATACCTTTACCTACAATAATTGTTCAATGCTTTCAATGTTATTACATATGGTAATAGAGCTTCTCATAAATTTGTAATGAATATATTTTGCGTTCAAAAACGCAGTAGGTATTACGCAGCCTCAACAAACGCAATAAACAGATAGCAAAACTTAGACGGTTACTAATCCTTACATGGAGCGCAACCTGCTGCGATTACCACAGTCGTATTGCATGGTGGGAGAAAAGAAAGGAGGAGGAAATATTGAAATTCTAAATTACAATCGTAGAAAAGAAAGCAGAGAAGAGCATCGTAATAAAAAATAAAGCATCTACAAATCATAGCATGGTGATAACATGGCAGATCTGTGTTTTTAGACTTAAAAGTTTTAAATGCACATTCTCACGGCTAGTCCAACCTTATAAATAGAGATTAATTAATTAACGACCTGTAACAGTTAACTACAAAAGATTAAAATTCTCTTGACAGCTATACATTGCGTATTAATTTTCTACTCGTTTTCAATTTTTGAATGCTTAAGTTCCTTTTTGCTTTTTTAGCGAAAATTTATTAGTTAATTCAAAAGTATGAAATATAGAGAAACAAATGTTTTTAACTCCTTCTTGCGTCCACAAATCTTTATGCCGGCACATTTTTAACACTTCCTTTTCACTTTTCAGACTTTTTAAGTCTGAAAACAAACATCCGCGAGGCTGTTATCATGCAATGATTTGTGGGAGCTTTATTTTTTACCATGATATTTCAACGACTGAATGAATGGGAATAACAGTTAACAACAGATGGGCTCTGTCGTTAAAATAATTTTCGGTTAGAAGTGAAAAAAAATATTTGAGCATTTGTTTTTTGTTTGTTAAGTACACTCATTTAAGTTATGGATTAATTCATTGAATTAATTATTGATAGTTATTTAGATTTATTTACAATTAATCATTCATAACGTTAATTTCTTCTCAATATTTCTCAATCATATCATAGAGAGCAACTTTTTCCAAAGAATTTCTAGAAAGCACCTATATTTTTATCTAGAGGGTCCCAGGTCGAGATGCTAAAAAATTTTACGAAACACTAGCCTAGAGCTTTTCTTGCCGCGATTCTGCGCCATTCGAGGTTTGAAATTTTCGTCAACCGTTTCCTCTTAATTCGACCTCGACGTAACGCGGCCTTCTGAATACTCTTAGACGGGGTAGTAGAAGTAATAACTGCCTTATCAAATTAAATAATAATTTCATAGTTGAATTAAATAAGTAAACCTTTGTTTGTACCTTGTGTAAACTACAGTCCATTTTTTTCCAAAGAATTCTAGACCCTAGAATCCTGCAATAACCTGTATGCTGAAAATACCGAAACACCAGTCCCTGTCCATTACCCCTTCCGTCTGTTAACTCACAAAGAGGTGCGAAGATTTCAAATGACATCCTTTCTACTTCCTAACAAAGAAGCTTCCATTGGCCTATTAAGACAATCTGTGTGCAATAAACAGATAAAATGCATTTGGGGAAACTGCATCTGCTACTGCATACCTTAGGAGAAGGGAAGAAAACAACAACGCAATCTCGGCCGTTTCGTGCGGTTGTAGTCATTTGAATGAAAAGCCGTCTGGGACGTTTTGGTCTTCAAAGGATTAAACTTCAATTTTATATTATCTGGGTTACTCATCACACAAGAAAAAAGAAAATATTTAATGGGGAAGGAGATATGAAATATTTCTTCAAGAGAAGTAAAAATATTTTTTTTATTTGAAATCGACAGATGCGCTGACAGCTGAAAGAAAATACGATAGGATATATAAACTATTAGATAAAGCGTAAGAAAAATTGATAATTTAGTTAAGTCATTTTTTTACATTACGTCTATACTCATTCCAGATCCAAAGAAAAAAGAAAGGTTAGGCAGAAAAAAATTTTATACATCATTTTCGTCTCTTATTTAGTTTCTGTGAAAACAAAGTTTACGTTATTGAAGTAACTGAGCCTTCTTCCAAGAAGTACAACCCGAAAAATTGTTCTGATTGACAAAAACTTCGACATCAATATGCCAAGTGGCAGTGTTTCGTAAAAGTGTGGGTAACTTTATAAGAAAATAGCGTTTTTCAGAAAAGTGTTGAAGATTTCACCTCTTTCTTAATTAATTAATCAGTAACTGAAAAGAATCTTGAAATTATCTAAGTGTGCGCGCACATTTATGCAAATTCGATTGTCGGAAAACGCTAGATGGTGGTGCTGGCGATCAGTTTCACGTGACAAATGTTTTGTGTCAAAATTTGGACGACACTGATTGGGGGACATGCGATTCCAACAAGAAGGTACCACATGCCACACTGCTAACCCAACTATAGATGAACTGAAAATAAGTTTTGGTGAAAGTATAATTTCATGATATTTAACTGTGAATTAGCCTCACAGAAGCTATGATTTTAACTACTTTATATTACTTTCTGTAAGATTATTTGAAATGAATGGTCGGTGTGAAAATAACCACGAAATCTTGAAGCATTAAAAACAAATAACGAACACTGCACCCGTGACATTATGCTCGAGTTGTTGCATACCGTCAACAGAAACTGTTTTCGTTTGTGAAAATAGCATTTAAGTGATGTTTTATTCAGAACATAATGTCACTGATTATTGTACACTGCGCAAACACACACAAAAGAAAGACATTTCTCTTATTGTTGTTGTTACTAATCCTAGAGTCTAGCTTCTGCTAGACGAGGTCTACGAGTTTATTCACCTTCAAAAACTCATAAACTAGCATAGCAGACTTAATCAGGTAGTCGTAGAACAAACCCAGACACCAAAGTATATGTGACGGAGAAGCCTGCACATTGTTACATTTCAGACAAATCGGGTGTGTTTTTTGACCTCCCTGGAATGTAAGCTTCTTAAAAATGGCCACTAAGAAAGCGGGAGAGACAATTCTATATCTCCCGTTCTACAGGGCAGATTAAAGAAATCCAACTTGCGTTTTTCATGTCTCGAAAGCGCGACTTAGGATATGTTTTAGATTTATATATAGTATTGTTCTAATATTTTAACACGAAAAATCTGTAAAAATCGCACAACTAGTTTTTATAAAACTAGCTCTGAAAATTTTAGCTCCTCAGTGTTAATTGAATTTTGTATATATTTGTTAATTACTCTCTTTTTTTTTATTACACTTATCTGATTATCCCTTTCACATTTCGAAATTTAGGTTGATTCAAAAAAAATCGCCTATTTTTTACGATTTATTTTTAAAAATTTATGTTTTTAAATCATTTATAGGTTGTAAATTTTATATGTTGTTGAAAAATTTAATTACAACCTAAAGTAGATGTATTTCTAGGCACACCCTGCAAAAAAATTTGAGTTTTTTATTCAAACTTTTCAAAGATATACGTGAATTTACATATTGGCGCGTTTTGAAACTTGGCATATTTGTTGCAAGCGATAAAATGCCAAATGTGGTTTACGCACTTTGTTAAAATTATTTGAAAGTACGAACGATGACTTTTTTCGACTTATCTACAATGAAAAAAAAAAGAAAAGGAAAATAGGTTGCTATAAATTAAGAAGTTAGCCAAGTGAATTATTCTTGGCGCAAACTAAGAAAAATGCGCCAAGATACATGTTTGAATTTATCCGTAAATTTCGCACCAAATTTTACGAAATTTAATATTTAGGCATAATTTGACTCGTAGAATCGAAATATGGTAAAAAAAATGGCATGTTATTTCCGAAAATGTCCGATTTTGCGTCAAAAGACCTATGTAAGAACAATTGCTATACATAAACCTAATAAATATCCCAAGTCGCGCTTTCGAGACAAAAAGAACACAAGTTGAATTTCGTCAATCGACCAGTAAAACGGGAGATATAGGCACCCTCTCTCTTTTTCTTTTTTTTTTTTTTTTGGTGCAGTCTCTTTCAAAATAATAAAACAAATTGTCTTTGATCAAAAGTTTGGTTGTGTCTGAAATAGCTTTTATTGTATTTCATTTAAAAATCATTACATTCTTACTGAAACACCCTTTACAAAGATAACTTTAAGCCCGTGGTTTAATTTTTTCGTTTTATAATGAAAGTTACATCTATATAAAGACACATTTAACGTAGAATAAACAAAAGAAATGGATCAATGTAGGAGAAACAACTTATGTGTTCACACGGTTTTAGTTTTTTTTTTTTTTTTTGAACGAATCCCCAGTAAGTATAACAGTTTCGTGTTCAACAGACAATTTAATATCATTTCAGTCGTGACCGGCTAAAATAGTATTCCAATAAATTCTCTTAGAATGATGGAGTAGAGAAAAAAAATACTGTACTGACCAGTCTTCGTTCCTTCGGATTGTTTTCAGAACGTGAACTGCAAGAAGAAAAAGAATTCCTGCTGCTGCCAGCTGCTTGCAAGCCCTGAAATAAAATTTGAACTTTTGAGTTTAGACACATGAGAAATACCTACACACTTAAACGGGGAAAAATGCTTCTAATCTTTTATTTGTTGCTGATACATTTTATTGAAATTACTGTAAATAATTAGGGCTTTATGTATTATAATGGATAGAACACAATGATCTGATAACCTTATTATTTCATTGGTTAAAATATGAAGCCTGCTAATATGAGGGCACTGTTTCAGATGCATATAAAAATAATGTAATTGTTTGTAACGAAAAATAGGCAAATGAAAATAACGAACGCTAGAACTAACTGCAATAAACTGACTAAAACAGTCTCAAACTGAAACTCCATGCGAAAAGAGTGAAAGATCCACAAGATTTTATATATATATATATATTTTCACAACGATTCGATTTGATATATATATATATACATATAAATTTTTAGCCATTTTCATAATATATATATCGATGTTACGGAAAGACCGAAATTAGAGATGTCGATTGCGGAGAATGTCAGCATTCCCAATACGTCAGTGAAAGATAGAATATTCTTCACATTCTTGTACATTCGGACCTACCAGTGTATGTCGCAATCGCCGACATGCTCTGGTGAGGTCGAAAAGAGAGGATATATGTACACTCTGCCATTCGAAGGAAGTTTCCACAAATAAATGCATAGAAAAGCAAGGGCCTCTTGTGCAGTTCAAAGGCTCATAATATTTTTAGTTGTTGCAATAAAGATATGAATCACATATTTGGAAATTTATAAATTTATTATTTTCCTTCTATTTGAATGTACTGTGTTTTTAAGTTCTAGGTTCTTATCTGAGTTCAATTGCGTTTTTCACGAATGAATACGTATAAGGAAATATAATATTCATATATGTTCAACATCACATTAGTACATGGTGAATGTCGAATTTACGGTAAGTCAAATAGAGTATGGAAAATATTTCATCCATACACAGCGACTATGCGATGTTGACATCACCCGTGAAAGTCGACATTCTCCAGATTTCGGTGTTCACGTAACATATATATATTATTTACCAAGAATATGTTCTATTATCTCCTAAATGAATTTGAGTAGAATTATCGAAAACGAGTGACTCCATAGTAAGTTTAATTCCGAAATTGTTTAATTAACTTGAATGTAAATTGTTAAAATGTTTAACGGACAAATTAAATCATGATAACAAAATTTCAATTGGAAAAAAAATTAAATTAAAACCAAGTAATTAAATTAAAAGCAAGTAATCATTGCCGTTGATCGGAAATTAGTTGACTTTTCAAGGGGAACAAACTAAGTCCCGTTCAATGCACAATAATTAAGAAATAAATACGAAGGTGTATCGTCCTTTACTCAAGTAATAAGGCGATGCCAAACTGGCAATTTAAATTAGGCCAAATATTTCCGTTAATTGAAGTGATCAAGAACCAATGCAGAGCACTAAAGAACTCATTCTAATTAAGCATTTTCGCTAATTCAATTTTGAGTGAAAAGCAATTTAGGCAGTAAAATTGATAAATTACTTGAGTAATTGTTCCCCGACACCCTCGTTTTTATGCATTTTAATTCAAAACTATTTGTTTGACGAAAACACCTTCGTATTTATTTCTTAATTATTGTTCATTGAACGGAATTGGTTTTTCCCTTGAAAAGTCAA